CCCAGGAGGAGACACTGATTCTGTTGGGGTTGCGTCAGGAAAAGCATCCGGCGTTAAAAAATAAATAAAAAAATCTGCCAACTCAGACATGCGGCGCTACCTGCTGTGGGAGACCCCTTGTGGGTAAGAGAACAGCCAAAAGTGGCTTATGTTTTTCCAACAACCAAAAAAAGGCTAAGAATCCCTTAATAAATGATTCTATTGAGTCTCTCATGACTTTTGTAAGGAGCTTACTCTAGTCTGTCACCAGCACAAGAGTTTAATATGATTTCTTATTATGCCTGAGTGGAAAAAGTCATATTTTAAATGGCAGAGCTCGGAAGTCAGTCTGAGTCAGTATTACCATTTCACAGCTGCGTGATGGAAAGGCAGGTTCAGCTGGCAGAATATGATAAATCAAACACACATACTGGACACATTGGTTTCACAGGAAAAGTGATGTTAAGTGGCATAGATGCAACGGTGGCATCAAAGACCCTCCAATAATTTTAGGCTAGAAAGACTAAAAGGTCATTTGCTACATCAGTAGCTGTGCTTTGTCATGAAAAGGCCTTTGGCAGGGCAGAGCAATATTCTACTTCAGCACATTAGGCTTCGGGTCAAGTCCTGATTTATGTTCTACTCTACATGGAGCCCTCAGCATGGTCAGAGAATATTTATGCATTATTTAGAATGATCTGCTCAAGTCAATAGACGACCATATCGTAGCTCACTTCATGGTTCATGTGAAGATGAAAAACCCTCATGTGTTTGTTTAATGTAAGACCACACCCATAACCCTAGCATAAGTAAATAAAAACAGCCCTGTGAAGCCCTCTTAATTAACTGGTTTCTTTTAAATGTATAAACTAAAACTTCCTTTTTACAAGATATATGATGATTGTTTCTCAACTAAATTTCCTCGACTCTCAGCAAAGAACATGATGGGAGTATAATTTCCTCCTGACTCAGTAAGTGATGTGTAGACCAACCAAAAGCACAGAAAACTAAGTCGGGATATAATTTACACTCACCCAGCAATTCATTAGGTTCACCTGTTCAGCTGTTTGTTAAGACAGAAATCTAACTGTACACATGTCAAGACGACCAGCTACAGTTCAGACAGCATTAGAATAAAGGTTAGTGCCAGACAGGCAGGTCTAAACTGCTGATCTAATGGGATTTTCCTGCACAGGCGTCTCTAAGGTTTATAAAGAGTGGTCTGAGAAAGAGAAATTAGCGGTGAGCAGCAGAGCTTTGGGGGAAAGTGCCTTGTTGATGTCAAAGGAAAATAGCTTTAACTGCTCTGAGCTGTCAGAAAGGCAACAGTAACAAATACTGACGTGTTATAACCAAGGTGTGCAGAAGAGCATCTCTGATGCACAACAAATTGAAACTTTAAGTAAGTGGGCCACAGCAGAACACCACACTAGGTGCTACTCCGGTCAGCTAATAACAGGGAAGTGAGGCTACAATTCATATAGGACCACCAAAACTAGAAAATTCTTAATGTTTAGCTTGTATAGAAAGAGACAATGTACTGATCCTTGTTGTGTTTAACAGGTGACGTGCTTGGGAACAAAATTGAGATCAAATGAGTCCTGTCCTGCAAGTGATATCTGAACCAAGTAGGATCACAAAAGTCTCCATTTTCTTTCAATATATTCTATAAATATATATTGTAGGAAAATGACCCTACAATATTACCAATAGTCAGAAAACACCAACAGTCAGGTGACTATTGGTGACATCAAACAACCTTGATGGGGAGGAAGAAAGGAAAGACTTAGGAGGATGAAATCATCTGCCCTGACCTGCTGGTGAAAAGAGCAGACAGAGAAGTCATGGCACATAGTTGCCCCTCCCATAAACCTGGTTCTGCCGCAGGTTTCTTCCTGTTAAAAGGGAGTTTTTTCTTCTCACTGTTGCCAAGTCTTTGCTCAAAGGGGGTCATGTGATTGTTGGGGTTTTCTCTGTATAATTGTAGACTCTTTATTTTGCAATATAGAGTTGAGTTCAGCCTAGGGTCTAGTAGGCACTAGTATTTCAACAGGTCCAGTCTCAACCCTTTTTTCAAAAATATCCAAGATCAGGATATAACCGAATGCATCAAAAGAAGCAGTTCTTTCTAATAATAGCTGAATAGCAATTTTGCCTGGACAGCGTTCATTCGAATGTCATTGAATGAACAGTGACTACCTCCTCCTCCACTCACAGTGGAGGAGGTGTTGAATACGTATGCCAGTGATACTTTTTATAATAACTTTTCTATAAACTGAAGTATCTCTTGAGTGTTTTGCTCTAGTTTTTCTGTTAAACCCGATGACTAACTTGAGTCATAAATGTGTCATCTGCTGTATTGCTAATGCATGCAAATTGTATACTCAATGATTTAGTGAAGTTTTATCTATCCTGCATCACTTGGTTATATTAGCCTGGGTAAATGTTGCTACTTGTTTTTGCTGTTTTTTAAGTAATACTTTCATTAAGTATGTATCCATCTACTTTGAAACCCTGCCATGAACACAGATTAGTATGCAGCAGGCTTTTCTGATTTCACAATTTGCCAGCCGCTGAAGGAAAGAGCAAGGAGCAGTGAAGCTGGAAAACTATATTACAGCTTCCTTTGGGATGTGACATGTTTTATCTCAAAAACAGGAGCTGTAGGCATAAAGGCCATCAGTCCTTTTCTCAGTAACGCATGGATGGCTTATAGTTTCGTACACAGAACAGATGAACAATCTCTACTTGACTTAAACTATGGGACTCGTAGAGAACTATATTTTGGGAGAGTTTAGGAACACGCCGTTTTGTTTTGTTTTGTTTTTAAATCTAGAAGATATTCGTAAAAACCTGAAAAGACCTTAATAAAAATGCAACCTGCTCTTAGTGCACTGTTAATATATGAAAATGTATTCACCCACGACTTTTATATCCAGAGTTAAGTAATGTTTTTCTCTTTCTGTGTATACATAACTGCTAGACCAAATATTTAATGACCCAGCATCTTGTTTAAAGAGTGATAGGTGTAAAGGTTGCAATAACAATAACCTGGTGTAAGGGGAAATTATTCTGCAACAGCCCGGTCCCACAGCGAAGCCACCACTGTAGCCTGGAGGGGCCGACTGCAATTTATGAATGACAGCTCATGGTCACTGTCAGCAGTGCCAAGGCAGGAACCTGCTGCTGTACATCCAGTAGTGACATGTGATGGATGATCTGATGTTTGGCAGTAATATTTCCGTTCATCGTAACAGGAGTCTGAACGGTGTACCTTTTTAAATTTGAGTGCAAATAGCACATGCATCAGTTAACGCTTGTTCTCGTTTTGGTCTGCATGAACAGAGCAGGCATAACGGGTTTGAAATTGAACTGTTTTTATACCTCCCGCTGGTGACAGCTGTAGCTGGAGGCATTAATTTTGTCCATAATGCTTTGTGTCTTTCCCGTTTTTGAAGACTGTGTAGCTCTTTGAACGCCGTCAGAGATTTCTTCAAGTTAGTTAGGGATGTTCCCTTGGACTCAGAGATGAGCTAAGTTTGGGTGTGAAAGGCCAAGGTCAGCATGACCCCACGATACCTTTTTATTTATTCAGATCTTATTGAATTAGACAAAAACATCAACACAGAACAAGGCAGAACAATACACTGACATAAAGTGAGGTATATAAGTCAATTTGTGCAATAAGTTGTTGGGTAATATTGATTTGGCGAACATCCAGTACACACAAGTTATGTTTTCACTTTGGATTTGAAGTCACAGAAACATTAAGCCAACATCTTCTCACAGTCAGCAGTGTTCATTATCTGTTCAGTCCACAGTTTTAGCATCAGGGTTTGAGATCATTTCCAAATCACAAGAATCAGTCTGGCATGAGCCTCTGGACAAACCACACTTCAACCATTGGCCCATATATTCCAAAACATTTCTCCAATCAGGAAAAACTTTGGAACACTCCCATGATGCATCTACCTAAGTGCCTCTTTCTGCCTTACATTATCAGCATAAAACATAGTTCATTAATTAATTAAATCCATTTTGTGTATTCAGTTCAATTCAGTTTTATTTATACAGCACCAAATCACAACAACAGTCACCTCAAAGGGCTTTAAATTGTAAGATAGACGCTACAAAAATACATACAGATAAAAACCCAACAATCATATGACCCCCTATGAGCAAGCACTTTGGCGACAGTGGGAAGGAAAAACTCCCTTTTAACAGGAAGAAACCTCCGGCAGAACCAGGCTCAGGGAGGGGCGGGGCCATCTGCTGTGATTGGTTGGGGTGAGAGAAGGAAGACAGGATAAAGACATGCTGTGGAAGAGAGACAGAGATTAATAACAAGTATGATTCAATGCAGAGAGGTCTATTAACACATGTTGAGTGAGAAAGGTGACTGAAAAGGAAATACTCAATGCATCATGGGTAATCTCAAAGGAGTATAGTAATACTGATTAATTATTACGACAGACATTTTTAGGCATAACTCATGCCTAGCTCATGAATTCTCAGGAACACCTTGGGAATATTTGTTAAAATTCGGCACAAACATCTAATTGGACTTTAAGATCTGATGGTCATGGTCACGGTCATTGTAACCTCACAGCCCCGATTTAAGAATCTGTATGCTAATTTTGACAGAATTTCCTACAAATTATGGAATAAATGAATGAGGTAAAGTCTTTTGTTTTTGTTTTTTAAAGAAAGCGCCAATTCAAAGCTTTCATTGTTATGAACTGCTACATGACTGCTAGAAGCACGAGGCAGTAATCCTAGTATTGTGAAGTGCATGAGTCATATAATGAGTGTCACGAGCTGAGTTTTTCAGTATTGTGCTACATTAGTGTGAATCACCCAAGCAATAGTTTCATCCATCTAATTGTCCCACTGAGAATTGTGATGCCATCACTCTGGGGTGGGCGAGGTGAAAGTAGGTTGAGTATGTAGTCGGGCCTGTGTGGATGGAATAGCTCTTTCCTCTGTATTTAAAATGATCCTTTTTTATTCTCTTTTCACAGTCTCCTCTGAGGAGCAGTGAGGTTGACTGGTCGCTGTCAGAGCTGGATGTTTTGCTGCTGGCCGGCACCGTCGGTCACACTCTCAGCCTGGCGGCCAGCAGTTTCGTAGAGGAAGAGCACCAAACCTGGTACTTTCTGCTCAACACGCTCTGCCTCACCGTGTTCCAGGATGTCTGCCGCAAGTACTTCAGAGAGAAGAGGGGCTCTGGAGATGACGAAGAGCATATCCTCCCTTCCAAAGACCGTCATCCCTCCGCTCACCCCAAAGCAGAGATTTTCTCAGAGAAGTGGTTAGCGTTAGCCACGCCACCATTCACTCTGCTCTGCTGCCGGCTACTGCGCTCCCTCAACCAAACTGGGGTGCAGTGGGCTCATATCCCTGACGTTGGGCATTGGCTCAACAGGTGGGTTTATTGATCTAATATTAACTTTGATAAATGCTTCAGTTTTATGTAGTTTAAATATTTGAGTCACTGTATTTTATTCATATCAAGAAAATGCAGGCAGTATTTGGAAAACAGTATAAATTAACTGGTTTCACTGATGATTCATCACCTAATGCCATGTAGTAGTGAATTTACACTCACTGCCAAATTTGAACCCAACCATCTGAATGCTGCATCAGAAATCTAGACTCATCAGTCTTCAATTGTCTAATTTTGGAGTTTCCTGTTGCTAGCTGACAGCAATTACAGTTACTGCTTTTGCGTTCAGAGATGCTCTTCTGCATACCTTGGTTGTAACAACTGGGTGTTTTGAGTTACTGTTGCCTTCCTATCAGCGTGGAGCAGTCTGACCATTCTTCTCTGGCTATCACTTAAATGCCTAAATTGCATAAATCCACAAGTTGCTACCATGTGACAGGCTGCTGGTAAGATATTTCCATTCCTGAGCAGTTGAACAGGTGTGTTTTATTAAGTGGTCAGTGATTGTTTCCCAATTCCAGTGTGTCACTTTACCTGAATAAAAACCCAAAGGCACTCATATTTCCTCTTAGCAAGTGGTCAGTTGCTAGTAGATTAGCCAGCTACCTCCTTGATAGCAAGACAAGTGTTTTTATGTGCTAAATGCTAAACTATGTTTATTAAGTAGTCGCTAACTTTGTGTAACTATTGGTTGGACAGATAGTGATCATTGTATTGTTAGTAATTACAGCTGTGAAAATCAACCAATGTTAGAAAGGACAATAAAACTGTAAATAGTTGAGGAGAAATGTGGAGGATTATAGTTCTATTACTACACTGATGCTTTTCTTGCACAGTCATATTTTTCATTGTTACGGAAACATTGATTCTAATTCTAATGCATGAAAGCTAGTAATACTACCTAACTAACCATCACTGTTGGTTTGTGCACATTTATTTTTTAACTAGGCAGCAAAGCAAAGAGAGAGTGGCAACAGCAACAGCTTCTTGGTTGATTCAAGATTAGCTTGGCAGCATTTTTATTCCTAAGTCGCTCCTCAAGGGAAAATCAGACGACTCCATGAATAGCAAAAGGATAGAGGGTTCTGTCTCTGATGTGTTTGTGTTAAGCTGTACAAAAGGGCTGGGTACAAAAAGCGATTTCGCCGAAGTTCAGAAGTTTATCTGAAATCTGTTACATGCATGCATAAATCCCTTAAAGTGTATTTGCTCTCTTTTACTCAAAGCTAAATTTACAGTGGTAAACTGATTGCTGATATGGCTCTACAGCAAAATCTTCACTATGTTGTTTTTTCTGACAACCAGTGTTGTATTGTTGGTGTTGTAATGAACGGTGGGGTGCTAGCAAAGCTGAGGACCATTAGTTCTGTGTCATGCTGTATGGTATATTTCTCTTTTTACGTGGATATGTGGCAGCATGAAGGTGACAGGACATAGCAGGAACTTATTTCCAACACAACTACAATTTGAAGGAAAAAAAACCTACACTTGATGTTTTACGACAAATCAAACAGAATTGAAAAAGAACAGGCGTCTTTCACTGTTTAAGGATAGAAGTTCAACCGTCACATGGGGATACATTCGTTGCAGAAAGGCAATCTGTCTGAAGACAGTATACTCAGTAGGCTAAAATGCAGTGCAGCAACAAGATTTTCAATCTCAATGTGTTTCTCCACCTACACACAAATGTAACAGATCAATGTAGCAAATTCATTGATGTTCTTTGGGGAAAGCCGTGATATAGGATATTACTTACTGTAGTAGATGTAATGAAAGTGGTTCAGTGAACAATACATTTAGATTTCAATGCTAGAAATAGACATCTAATGGAAGCTGTGTGGTGTTAACACACAGAGCAAGTCTTTTCTTCTGACACTAAAACATTTTAAATGTGTTTTTCTAGCTGAGAAGCTGATAGGACTACCCACTTACACTTTATTTTTTTTTAAAGATTCAAGAAGAGAAAATCGTCTTCAGATTGCCCAGACTGAAGGAAAACTGTGATTTCTCTGTAAAAACTGTGGCTTTTTCAGAGCCATTAATATTCTGACAGCAGTGCGAGGCAGGGGGATTATAGTTTGTTCTTTAACATTCATCACAATGTGGAACAGAGATGTGGATTCTGACCTTTTCCCTGTCCAGTGTTGCCCTTTCTTCCTACCTGCAGTGCCTGTTGCTTGGATAATGAGATCCAGGTAGCGTTATGCCTCATCTTGTCTCAAAGTATTCAACGTCCACTGCCAGTCTGATCCAGCTAATGGCTAAATACACGGCTTCAACTTTGATATGTCCTATTTCCTATCGGTGCTCAGTATGGTGCAATTCCAGACTTTAATCCAGTGAACAGTTGAGGGGCTGTGCCTCTTTTAAATTTAACCTGAATCTAGAGGATTTGACTGACAGTATTTCATCTCATCAAAGTAAATGCTCACCTTCAGCCTTCAAATGAGAACCTGTAATGCTTTCTCTTCATGTGTTATTATATATACAGTTACACTGGTGAACCGTCATATTAAAGACGGTCAGTTCACAGTAATGAGGTGAGTGTATGTCCAAGTAATCCCTGAGAGCCAGGAGCTAAAGCGTCAAACTGCTTTAATCAGCTGGTCTATCAATATTTTTTTCTTTTCTTGGATTTGTCGAGTCAACTCAGGCACACGTCTCTGGCTGTGAAGACAGAAGCCCCACCCACCTGTGGGTGGAGCCAGGTGCGAGGGGCAGCCCAGTCAGAAGACATCTGGTTTTTCAAGAGTGTGGCCTTAAAAGGAAAGGAGAAAATAGCCTTTTTTAGACAGTAAAACTGATAGATGATAGGAATTCACAGTTCAGAATACTAAGGATTATCCTGAAGTGTGTAACGCAAAGCCACTCTAGCTCTCTTACCGTAACAGCCTGTTTAGTTGTCTAAACAAGAAAGGGCTAGCTTGTCTACAGGTTGTTCAAAACTCTGCAGCGAGGCTACTGACCCACTTGAACAAGGGAGCTCATATGACCCCTGTTTTGAAGTTGCTACACTGGCTCCCAATCAGATTTAGGTTCCATTTTAAAACTCTAGTTTTAACCTTTAGAGCATTACAGGCCAGGCCCCTCCCTATACTGCTGATTTGATTTGTACACATACCTGGTAACCTGAGGTCTTTGAATCAAAACCTTTTAGTGGTACCCCACACTCGTTTTAGAACTCGAGGGGACCGATCTTTCCAAGCTGTTGCCCCCAGACTGTGGAATGCACTTCTACTATTTCTACAGCGTCTGGACTCAGTGGAGACCTTCAAAGAGCAGCTAAAGACATTTTTTATTTCAAAAAGCTTTTAATTAGACGGGTGTTTTATGATGTATTTATGACTGTATTATGTCTTCTTACCTTCTTGTAAAGCACTTTGTGACACATGTCTGAGAAAGGTACTATATGAATAAACTTTACTTACTTACTACTTACTAGCAGAGTCCAAAAATAATAATAATGAGCTGGAACTGAGCTGAATATATGTATATATATATATATATATGTGTGTATGTGTATATGTAGAAAGAGAGAGATCTTGATATAGATATCTATAAACTGACCATAGATGTGGTTTGCCTTAAGCCACTACTTGGCCAACTGTAATACTTTGAGCATTTACCTTAAAAATATATAAACTTCATTGTGAAAATTCCAAATCCCTTCCTCATCATTTGAGTGCTTGGCACGTTTCTCAGCCAGTGACTGTTCTCTTCCATTTTCTCTCTAGCTCTGAGCACAAGGTGGTCCTCTCCCTGCTGTCCGCTTTCTGTTTGGTTCTCATCTACTTCCTGGTTCAAAGACGGTGCTCGTGGGTCTCGAAGGTCGCCCTCGCCCTCGGGCTTTTGGGTGTGTACAGCTATCGGGCAGCTGTCGGCAACGTCCTGTTTCCCTGGCATCATTCTGGTCGAACTATGTCCAAGTAAGTAAGTCTTTGTGAACCACGAAACAGTGAGTTCATTCACCATAACAGCTGGCAAATTGCTGTCCCCTGGTATTGACTTGATTTAAAGTTCAGGAGTGCCAGGCTGTGCTGTGATGCAGATGAGCGTGAAGACTCTAGTGCTGCTCGTGTCATCTGGGACAATCCCTTACTCTGATGATGAACTGCAGTACAGTTTTTTCCCTTTACATCTACCTACAGTAAATCTCCCTGACCTAGTGTAACGTCATGTCCCCACGGTTTTGACAGTGTCTTAAATTAAATTAATTACACTAAAAGAGGCATCAAGCAATCTATAAATGTTGATTTAAATTGGCAGCCAGTGGGAACTGCAGAAGTATCGACAGGTCTTTTCTCCTTCAACACATCTCTGGTACGGCCGCATCAACACTCTCCCCTCATGTCATCTGTAACTTATGAAACGAAAGTATGACATTCACAACACAGCTACTTAATTAGAGTGGTGAGTACAGAAGAAATAGACTAACATGCAGAATATTGGAATCATTTTTGTAAGTAAATTTGCTTTTCATTTGGCTTGAAAATGAGCTTTTTAGCTGCAATGACTGAAATACAAATCGATGTGTTTGTCTCTATTCCTGAGCGGCAAAGAGCTGTGCAGGCCACAAAGTGAGGTTCATATTTGTAGTTTTGAGTATAATTTCTAAACAACTATTGGATGGATTGCTTTCATGTTGGATACACATTATTAATATTTACCACTTGTAATGACTTTGGATAGATAGCTTGATTTAAGACCAAAACCAATGGCAGCCCAGCAGCCTCATTTATCTTTGTATCTCTGTTAAGTGCTAGTTAGCATAATTTTAAATGGATAACCTCGCTGCATAGCCACAAGAGTGGAGCTGCTGTGAAAATGGATGTAAAAGCAAAATGATTTGTAAATCACTCAAACCATTGATGTGGTTGACTTGAAGAAGGGGACCAGGTCGCCGCTAGAGGCCTTGAGTAAGAACAAGTGTCAGCGGGGCTTCAGAATTTAAGGTTGTCAGTTGCTTTGTGTAGCCTTTAGATAGTTCCAGTACATGTTTAGTGGATAACATGCAGACTTGTTTTTTACCTTTTTACATTTTAAAATTCCATCTCAAAGTTTTGTCCGACTACATCCCTTTAGTGCAGCTAATGTTTGTAACTGTGTGTTTATAAAAGTATATGGACTATTGCTGGTCCATTGGAGTGAACAGAGATGACATGGCTGTCTCTGGTCTCCACTTGCAGCCAATTCTCATCACCAAAGTAACTTCAGAATGTCAAGACAAACATAAGATAGCAATAAAATGAGTCAGTCTGTTATCAGTTGCCTAGGGTAAATTTGGCAACTTGTGCAATGTGTTTTGTGATAATACGATGGCAAACTGTGATAAATCAACAGAAACTGCAAATCTGTTGCCGTCTGCATACACAGAAATTCAAGTTACTGATTTAACCTCCTAGGACCTGGCGTCCACATATGTGGACATCACATTTTGGGTTGTCTAGACCAAAATACAAAATTTTACAAGGACATTATTCTGTTACTGTGCTATCGAAATTTAAAGCGAATGTCCTCATGTGTGGATCTCATTTTTCTCAGAAACAAAAATCAGGTAAAAAAAAAATCACATATTTTTTTGTTTTTGCATTCATCAGGTCCCAATCAGCCAAAATAGCAAAGAGAAATTAAAAATGTATGCCATGAAAGCGTTTGGGTCTTAGGAGGTTAAAATTTAAATTCCAGTCTGATTCACACAGAGTTGAAACAGACTTTCCTCCACAAACAGTGACGTAGTTGCTCAAGATGACAAGTTAACATTAAAATCACACGGGGGGGGGGCACAGTAGCCATGCTTTCATATAATATAAACACCATACAATCCTGTTGCCAACCAGTTGAATATATTCCCCCTTTGCAAATATACGTGTCACAGACTCAGAGTGATTACAATGTGTTTGCAAACTGTCTGCATTTTTAAATTAGACTGCATTTATTTACAAACCTTCACCAGTTGGTCTGAGAGTGATTGCAGCCAGGCCAAGTCACACTGTGATTGTTTGAAGACTGGCTGCTTACCACCAGGCAAGCTGTGCAGTCGCCTTTCAGTGCAAAGCAATCACCCAGAGGCTGAGGCTGTTGCACGCTCAGTCGCTGAAAGAGGAAAAATTCCACTGAATCCTTTGGAGAGGAGGTCGCTGTCGTACTTTTACTCCATTGTGACTGAGGATATAGTGCACATGGCAGACCATAACATCTGTGAAGGCACCATTAATGCTGAAGCCGGCTTTACATACAGGTTTTGGAGCCACATATGCTGTCATTCCAATATGTTTTACAGGCAGGGTATTAATTGTTTCAGTGAGACTGTGTCCCAATCCACATCGTGCCGTGGCATGGCTACGCATTTTTAAAAAGTGTAGATGTGAGGCAGCACAATGGTAATCCTCCGCCATCTCACATTTTCAAAATGTGTTGCTAGCTTCCTGTTTAAGATGAAGATACATTTTTTGCAAAACAAAAAATGTCTCAGTTATGACATTTGTTACCGGTATGTTGAATTAAAAAACAGGAAAATAAAATCATGTTGATGCAAAGTGTAAGTAACTGCAGATCCAGAGATAGTTAAACCTGTGTTATGATCAGATGCCAGCAGGTGTAACTATAATTGTTACTTCATGACCATATTTTAAAGAAATCAAGTTTGCTGCCTCTTTCTAGTAGTAAAGAAAGCCTGAAAGCATGGAGAGCATTGTTTTCCTCGTCTTGGGGTCATGTTTGTTGACAAGTCAGCCAGCCATGGCTAACTGATTTGTGTATTGAGATTGGATCAAATTGCGTGCGCAATTGTGATGACAACAGTAAGACTGGAGGCATTTTAACTGGCTCAACAGCGACAGGTTTTCCAAGGATGATGCTTTTTTTCCGGCCTGTTGATTTTCTTATCTCAGTTTTTTTTTTTTTTAATGGTCCTCAGTCGTCCCTGCTGTCATTTTAAAAAAAATCTTGAGAAGAGTTTTCATTTCTTAAGCCTGAAAATGCATTCAAGCCCTTCCAGTATACATCTGAGGGTAAGACTCTTCCCTGCTAAGACCCTCAAGTCTTAATCAAGCAACCTAGATGCATAATAATCTTTCTCATTTTAAAGAGCTGATGATAAAACTGTTCATCTGGTGCCAGCTGCTCAGCATCCAGTGCATTTAGGAAGTTATGTGTGTCCTTGAACTCGACCTGAATAAAAAAAAATCATGTTCATGGTTTGGCTCTGAAATGCATTAGTGTTCTTGGAGACTGGAGCCCCTTTACACCGTGTATATATCTTATCCTTTAGCACAGTCCGTCTGTAATAGTTGTTGTTAGCATTGTCTGAAAAGAGAGGATTTTTCCACCTCCTAAATGGTGTAATTTTTCATCCTGTAGCCAGTAGCTTGGCACAGAGTTACCTGCTACTAACCCCTGTCAGAAAATGATGAGTGTTCAGGACTGCACACGGTTCTCCTGTCTAGTTTTCCTGACCTCCCTTCATCTACCACCAGTACCTGGCCTTCCCTAACCTTTTCTGTTCTCCTTGGCAGGCTCGCCTACCTGCTTGCCTAATTAAAATCTCAACCTCTCACCCTTAGCCAAACAAAGATACCTTACTAAAGCCATGCAGTGACTTGCGCTCCTTTTGACCGACTGTATAATTGACATGGCCGATGTTCGACCCAGTGCTTCAGTGTTTCTTTTCACACGCAGTGATCATGATTGTGCATCACCTCAAGTTTTTCTTTAGCTTTAGCTCTTCTTATAGACTAACTTAAGTGCTGTTATTTTTGACGACAGCAGGTCGTGTAGCTCAGGTTCTGTGTTTTCATTGCTTGCTAAGGAGATTCTATTTTTGGCCAATTAAAATAGAACTTTGATTTTATCGTCTTAAAGCTTCCAACATTTGAGACAAATAATTTCCCATGGGTCTATATTTTGTTGTTTTGGCCATTTTTAAACAGCCATCTAGTTAAAGCTATGGCAATTTTAGATAGATCTCTTTTTGAGATAAAAAATACACACACCCCCACCCCCCACCCATGCTGTAATGTGGATCTAAAAAGAAGCAGCTTTGTATAATGACCCTGTTTAAAGTCTGGTCTTCTTGGGTTACTCTTTCTGTGTGTTTTATCAGAGTAAAGCCCCCTGACAACTCCCCGGCTCCCTCCTCACCTCCCTTCGTGCCAACTGCCTAATTGCGCTGCTGCATCTTTCAAAATGGCTAATGGGGTTGAGAACAGCCAACGCTGCTCACTTTAAAGGGCTCAAAGACTCGCTTGGATTGATGTCACTGTGGATACAGTTTGTCTTTTTTCCCTCTCAGTTTTCCTCTCCCCCGCGCACGCCCCTCCTTATGGCATCATCTCAAATGAACCTAAAAATAGAAAGCTAACAAAGTCAGGCGACAGGGCACGTATATACTCTGAATTATTTGTATTTATTTAGATATTGAGAGGTGGCTGATTACCGCTGCAGCACTGACACATAACTGTAGACAGGAAGATGCAATTAAGGTAACAAAAGCGGAAGCAAATGAAATTTTTCTGAGCGAACGTTCCAGCAGGAAGTAGCTGAACATCAAAGCAGCCGGCTGAGGTCCAAACCTGTCTGAGGCTGTATGCATCATAGCCAAAGTTTGTTTCAGTCCCCCCCCCCTCCACATTTATGGCACTTTTTTTTTTTATACTGAACACAAAGCCACTAGAAGCATTTACAATGTTTATGCTTCTGTTTGTGTGTGCGTGTGAGCGCGCGTGCTTCACACCTGCACAAAACATGACCCATTTTATCGTGTATGCTTGATCTCGAAAGGGGGCTGTTGCGCAGTTTCCCAATTTAAAAATATTCATGCATACCGATCCCGCTTAAAAATGGAAATGTATTCAAACTCGTCTCAAAACACCTGTGAACCTCTGCCACACACACGTGCACGCACGCACACGCAGACAGGCACACACAG